CAAGGTCACAGAGCACATGTGAACTCGCTTCTTTTGCCCAATGGAACTTATATGGTTCCTCTGCTTTTTAGGTCATGCACATTCCCATGAGGAGGCCAATATTTGCCCCATTATTTGATTTGGAGTTTGTCATGGAATATATTAAACTCTTATTTTGCTTGTGTTCTGCATTGAATTGTCTATAGGCTGTATGATTTTAAAGGTTTACTGAAACACAGAATCATAGGATTGGACAGGATCTTGAATCACCTAGTCCACCCCTGCCCATATGCACAACTTGCTATTCTGCAACCAGTGGTTGCAGCTATTTGAGAAAACTGTAAGCAGAAAGAAGCAGAAGCCAATTTGTTTTTTAGTTTGCAACTCTCCTTTTGCATTTAGACAGACATTTATTTTGTATAGGATACTGAAAGCGAGATGTCCCCAGTAGTGCAATTACAGAAGACTTGGCCAACAATTTTCATATTAGAACTATAAATCTGTCCTGGCTGTAATTAAATAATAAAACTGTTAATCTTGTGCTGGGAGAATAACTGTTCAGTAGCTAAAGAAAGGAAGGGACTAGACACAAAACATGATAGATTAAATCTCTAGCCTTAAATTATATATTATACCAAGGTGTTTTATATGAAACTTTTAGTTTTTATATGATTTCACATCTTAAGTTTCAAATTAGTGGTATTTATTATTATTTGAATATTTGAAAAACTAAACAGAAGAGAGACATTTTACTTAATAAATTCAGTAATTGTTGTATGGGCAGCAGTCACTCGCATTCAATTAATCTCCCTTCTAAAAAGCATATTTTGTTTTTATTATCAAATAGTGTCTTATTGATTAATATCCGCCGTCAAATGTAATGTATATGAGTGACCTTGGCAGAAATTCTATTGCATCTTTCTGTTTGTATGAAGCAATATCTTTTTTAGGCTAACCTGTGTAACTGTGAGTACAAACTAGAACAAATGCTTTTGTTTAACCTGATTATGTTAATGAATTTGAGCATTTGAAGAAGTTGGCAATTGTCCCCTGTGGAAAACAAGAGAAGTTACCAGAGGGAGATGTGAGAGGTAAGTCATACTTGTCATGTCTACACTTGCATTAATGCACCATAGGTACTGCATGTTAAATTTAGTAACTGTGGGTGCATGTATGAAAATCGCGAGGATGTTCCAACGTGATCAGTCAAGTCTGCTGGAGCATTGTTATTTTCAAGCTCCAGCCAGCCTCTGAGTCTCATGTATCGGTGTCCTGCACTTCAAAATGGCAGCAGGGTTGCTTAAAATAAAGCTTGTTCAATGAGCTCTAGATAGAGCACCCTGCCACCATAGGCGACATGTAGAAGGGTATGGGGGGGCACGTGCCTCCCCTGGGACAGCGAGTGCTCCAGCTGGTAGGGGGGCACGGAGAGCACTAGTGTCACCCCTGAAATTGGCTCCACCCTCCAGACTTGGGGGGCACCAGTCACCCATGTCTGCCACCATTTTGAAGCATGGGGATGCTGATACACAGGCGCTCCAGGAGTGCTTTAATTAAAACGGCTGTCAGAGCTGCTGTGATTAAAGTGCCTCCTCCCTTCCCTACCCCTGGAGGACGTGTAAAAATGCCCTGTAATAACAGGTACTAACTGAATGCGCAGTAACTGGCACATGCCTTTTTAGTGACACTAATGTGCAATAGACTTTTTCTACTGGGCATCAGCACAGTAGCACAGCTTTTGCTCTGACATGCTAATACGCAATAGAATTTGTCTACTGCATATCTAGCATCTCGGATAGATGTGCCCAGTGAGATCTAAAATCAGTGTTTTCGTTGGTCCAAGGTTTTTTGTGCCTAGTGAAGTCCTTAATGCCAAGCCTGTCTTCTGAGATTATTGTGTAGGGTTTTTTTGAGGAGTGACATTGTGACGTCAGAAATGAAGTGGTTATTTTGTGAAAAATGTTGTGCTACTGGTTTGCAGGGTGTTTCTGTCCTTTATTTTTATGTGGGAGTCTCATGGTGATGATGGTTTAGTTTCACCCACAACATTTCTGTGAAGAAACATGGTCCATTGGATGAAGTATATCATATTGTGGTTAGGCATATATAGGATTTTTTTTGTGTGGATTGTTGGTGGTGTTGGAAGTGCATTTGCAGTTTTGCATTTGTTCTGGGAAGTCTCATAAGTTTGGTGAGGTTAGGAAGCAGTTTGAAAGCTAGGGATGGGTTTGGGAAGATTTCATCCAAGACATTAACTTTTTTGAGTGTAGGTTATAATTATTTGGTCTTTCTTACAATTTCTAGTATGGGATATCACATGACAACCTGGGATGTACAGCTGGGGGAAGCTGTACATTTTCTTTTTGTATTGTAGTAGGTTTGTGCAGGGTATGCAGGTGGCCTATGCAAAGTTGTGGTCTTTTCCCTTGGCAGAGTGTTCTTGTTGGATGGTAGTTATTTTTAGATTGGTGAGATGAGTATTGTAAAAGTTCTCCTTTGAGTTGCAATGTTACCAGTGGGCCTGGCTATAGACTATAGCTTTTCTGGTATGCTGAGCTATTTCTTGGTTGTGTAGATGTAAGTGCAGTGATCACTTGGGTTTTGGGATTTTTATTTTTTTCAGGGTGCCATTCTTGATGTTTATTATCATATATAGAAAGTATTTTGGAAATATGCAAATTAGTTGCAGTCTGCCAGGAATGCACAAAAATCCAATGCGGGTGCTGATGTTTTAGAACAGAACTGTCCAACTTTGGAGCAGTCAGAGATCCTGAGCCATGGGTTCCCTGGGCCCTGTGAGCAGCCCCATCCTGCAAGCACAGGTAGCAGAAGCCAGATGAGGGAACGGGAGCCTGGTAGCAGCAGCAGCCAGTGGTCCCCAGGCAGGATCCTGCAAGCTACAAATGAACCCTTCATGGGCCTCATACAGCCCATGGACTGCAGGTTGGACAGCCTGGTTTTAGAGCTATCAGTTACTTTCGATACTTTTGACTGTTGTGGGTTGCTGACATATTTGTAGACCCAGGCAAGGACAAGACAAGCTGCTTTTCAGTACATGTATTCTTTCTGTGCGGATAGGACTCAGAGGAAAGTATTAGCCAATCACTTGTTCTTACATTTAGGTTTTTCCCTGTGAGGTACATAAAGTTATATTCTGTTATCCACTCACTTCAGTGGGGGAGGGAGAAGGGAGGAGAGATATCAAGGGAGTTTGAGCTGCAGTGTCTTCTGTATGTAGATTACAGTCTGCTGTTTCATCCCACCCCAATCGTGCATGTGGTTGCTCAGCTACATTATTGTTCGTAAGAGCTGGCTGGGTCTCATCTCTTAAATGTGGTAATATTAATAGATTGGGGAAAACAAGTGCAGGAAACAGTAGAAGGGACTCTCTGCTTCTTTTGGTTGAGGCCATGTATCATAATTTGTTCACAGCCTAGTTGGCTTGCCTCTCAATCTCTGTTGTTAAATCCAACTTCCAAAACATCCTTGTTTTCCCAGTGTTAGGGAATCGGTTGCCATGGGAACCTTAAATTCTGATTTCTATGGCTTTTTGATGTTTAAGATTCTAATTTTTAGCATGGCATTAATTTTTGAAAATGTAATAGTTATATAAATAATTTATTTTTCAGTATTTGAACAGGGTTAATGATTGACATGGTAGAACTCTAATTTAGAATGAGGGTTTTTTTTGACTGGCACTGATGATTAAAGGAACACTGCAGAAGCTACTTCTGTATATATTTACTTAGTATAATTTGTAGGAATACATCCTGGTTGCTCAATTCATTCCAAATAACTCAATGGATTTTCTGACACCTTCCTTTGGAGTGACTGGTATTATTCCTGAGGGATGTGTAACTTGCATTCCTCAGGATTGCAACTCATTACAACTCATGGTTTGAGGGAGTGAAGAATGCAAACACAAATACAGAACTTTGCCTACGGTCTTTGTTGCAGAATGCAGTGGATAATGCAAAAAAATTAAGGATCCTGAATTTCTCAGAGAACAAAGCATCTTTTACAGTCTTGAGCAACTCAGGTTTTGGAAAGTGCACAGAATTCTGTCAGCCATAAACCAGACTGAAACTCTTTTACAAGTTAAAGAGAAGCTAAACTGTGACTCAAATCATTTTTCAGTATGTTGCTTAGCATATTAGCTATGAGATCCTTTTTCAGGTCATTGAGAGTCATATAGCTAAAATACTATATTGCACTTTGAAAATGTACAAGTTGAAGATATTCAAGGTTCTTTATAGGTTCAAAATGGGAATACTGAAAACCAACTATTTCAGTTCCCATTTTTTATGAAGCTGAAGAAAGATTTACCTCTTTAAGAAAAAAGAAAGAAAGAGAGATAAAATTGTAAGGTCAGTTAGAAAATGGCATGAATGCCTTTATATAATAATAGTTAGAATTTACAGAAAAATTATCCATAGCTCCACTAACACTTTTCAAAGAGGAATAACTATCACTGTTAAGAACAGAAAGTCACATTGTAAGTCAGTGGCAGTTTAGAAAATAGAGGCAAGGTCTCTTCAGTCCTATAACCAGTCTTTCACTCCTAGAGCCAATCTTTGAGATCAAGAAGGGAAAGCACAAAAGCACTAAGAAATTTTCAGGATATACCCGAAGACTCATGAAAATGGTATGTCAAATCTGTGATATAGCAGTTGGCTCAGCTAGATGATCTATTATACGCTCTTTCATTATTACAATTCAGTGGAAAGGAAACCACGGGTAGTAAACTTTGGATTCTGTTCCCCAGTTGTGTTAGGGGGCAATGTATTTCAGGAGAAGTCCAGTCAGACCAGCAGCTTTCCAATGATAAAGTGATACAGTAACTGTCTTTCATCAGTCCAGAAAACCAGTGCTGAAAACTAATCCAGAAAACTAACCAGAATTAAATGCCTTGATAAGTTATGGCCACATTCACAAAGGCATTTAGGTACTTAATTAGAATAACTAGAGTAAAAGTCCATTCTCAGTTTACTGACTTACTAACAATATAGATGTCTTTGTTACATGCCCTCGTACGTACCTTTGTGAAACTGACCCTTTCAAAACAATTCTTTTTGGACAGATAATGGCTCCGGAGGCCATTGTTGCCATTACGTGTGTGCTGTACAAATGTACATAAAAAAATTGTGCATTGTTAATGGGCCACTAATACATTTATAATAGATTAACGTATTCCATGTTGATTTTCTTTTTTTTTTTTTTCTTGTCTCTCAGCGCACCTTCTTCAAGTATCTTAACACTTTAGAGCACACAGCTGCATTCTCAGTCACTCTGGCTTGATGCAGTTGAACAGATTTCTGAAATGAAGATGCTACTGTTTTTATTTTTCTTTTGTGGCCAGCTCAGACCTGTCAGATTTATCACGCTTGTAATGATTTATCAGTTCCAGTGTCAGCAGTAGAGAAATTACCTCATGGGGGATATTCACTGCTCCACCTGGCACCTTTCCTGGATTGAGTAAATCATGCAGCATTTTAATAATTCCATGAATTTACTGTAGCAAATGCATCTTGTCTTGCTTATTTACTCTCACCTACCTTTCTTTTGTTCACCTAGATTTTCTCTGCTGGATGAAGCTTCTGAAAATAGATGAAAGTAGGAGCTTTGTTTCCAATATTTGCAATGTTCTCCAATCGGTCCCGGGTTAACCTAATTTAGAGTAAGCACTGTATGTTAATAAGAATCAAGTGACTTCTAGTTCAAAAGTCCACAAGGACACAGCGTAGACTCTAGACTCTATTCTGGACCAAAAGGTTATACTGTGAGAGTTGTTATAGTTCTGTGAAACTTAATGAGAAATAAGTGTTTCAAAATGTCTCATAATATTCACTGTTTTGGTTAGATTAAGTGGAGTGGCATGGGCACTTTGCTAATTTCTGCATAATAAAAATGCTTTGAGACAATATCATCTTCCAGTCTTTCCATCTGGTCTGTCATCACATGTTTACAGGATTGCCACTGACATTCAACCAATGAATCATATCATGAACCACCAGCTGAAAGATTATTTCAGAAAAAATGATTAGGTAAAAAGGAGCTTGAATAGTTTTTCTGAGCTGAAAGGCATGGCCATTAGTGATAGGATTTTTTTCTGGCCAATACAAATTATCTTTATTATTCTGGAGGCCCTAATAAAATTAAAATAAAAATACTTATTATTATTTATTTTTTATTTAGAAAGCAGGTAATATTTGAGAGAGAGTGAAACAGTATAATAGCTCATAAATTGAACTTCATTTTTTTTTTTTTTTTAACCTTTAAAGAGTGAAATTGAGAAAAATATTTTTTTCTGACAGACTAGCATGTGTTTAAACTGTAGAGAAAGTCATTTAAATGTAAAGGCAGTCACTACTAACTTTATACACTTTGCTGCAGTTCTGGGTATTTGATTTTAAAAAAACATTCAAAATGTTGACAAAATGACAATCTAAGGTGTTAAGCAGTTTTCTTCATTGGCATATTGATGTAGATTTGTTAGTCTATATATATTTAGTTGTAGGAACCACTTAATTTGGAAATGATGCTTAGATATATTTTAAAATGTGAGAGTAGATGAAGCCAGCAGGTGGTATTCTCCCTGCGAGGACTGCACCCAATAATTTGTTTTAATGAGTCATGTTATGATTTTAGAAAATTGAAATCTCTCACAACACATTGGCCCGAGTAACTCAGTTTTATGAATTTAAGCCACCTTTGTGGTGTGTTACATATGAATAGGTTAGTGTTACTTTGTTAACAAATTTGCAGAAAAAGAAAGGAATGACTAGAGATGAAACTGAGAATATGGTTGATTTAATAAACATTTTCTGTTAGCCTAAATAGGAAATGTAAAATAGAATAAATAAGGATAAAAGACTTGTGAATAATATTGTAGCTTTCCAGAAATATGCTAAAATAACATTGCTAACCCTCAGTGGTGGGTTTGTAAGTGTTTTTCAGAGACTTCATCTGCACCTTTGTAGAGAGCAAAAGGACTGAATTTACCCTTCAAATATTAAAGGGTCAAAGCTACAATCTGTTTAGGATGAATTATAACATTCTCTTATAGTTTGCTTGATGTACCAGGCACTTTATTTTCCAAACAAGCGTAGATTTTTCAGCACTTTATCACCATTGGAATCAATGACATATTTCTTACAGAAGAAGAATGTTTAATTTTAAAAACTGAATCATTATTATTTGTTAATGCATATCTAATACATTTTCACAAATGTAACTAATGTCAGTTTTACAGATACCAAAAGAACATATATAAATCTCCTGTTCCTATATTAACATACAAAGAGAGCAAATAGTAAAAAATGCTTTAGGATGGAAAGAAATTTTCAAAGACGGGATGAAAAGCCAAGAGGCAGCAAGAGTCAATCTTGGAGAAAATAAGCAGTTTTTAATTGTTTGGCCCACAGTCTGGAATTAGATGGAGAGTTTTACAGTGGTCTACTCTATAAATAAATTTTCATTTCAATCTATTCACATGTTCTGAACAATTACACAGAATGAAAAATCAAGGATCTCGCTGGAAAAAAAATGGGAGAGAATTTTTTTGTATATACTGCTGTAGATATATTATGCAATTTTCAACTACCTCTTATTACATAGTATTAAGAACTGATGTAGGTGGTGGGTGTCACAGGTGGGGTCCTGCAGGAGGGCTGTGATCTCCTCAAGGCCCCCTTCCCATGCCAAGTTGGCCCAAGGGCACCCTCAGATTCTCGCCCGCCACATCTTTGATGTTCCAATATATTAGGGAGGCTGCCTTTTACGCCCTCTTGGTCACTTTTAGCTGGTTATTCGGACCCCGTGGTTTCCCAGACTCCTCATGGGTCCCACTCTGCAATGGGTGCTTCAGGGCACCCTAGCCTTATGGGCTGTGCGTGGCTTCAACCACCCCTTTTACCACGCCCCAAGCCTCGCAGCTGGAATAGACGTTGTTCGGTCTCTATCTCTCTGTTTCCATGCCCTTCTCTCAGGGGCTCTTCTCAGTAATGCTGCCACCTCTCGGGGGCTCTTCTCAGTAATGCTGCCCCCTTCTCCGGGGCTGGCCATGCCCGCACTGGGGCTTCTCAACTGCCCCTCTCTTGGGGCTGGGGTCTGTGCACCCTGAATGCTGCGCCCTTGCTGGCGCTGGGGCTCTCACACTACCGTGAGTTCCCTATGAGGCCTCCTCCAACCCCTAATAGCCTCACCCAAACCACCGGTGTAACAAACAGTAACACAAACTCAAGCCTCTTGGCTATAACGTAAACATAAGCTGTCCAGCTATAATCACGCTTTGCCTACCAGGGTTCTTCATCCCACAGCCATGTCACATGCTGCTCCTTCAGCAGGCTTCTCCTCTCTTCTGCAGCAGAGAGCTCCTTCCTCCTGGGCTGCTGGCAGGGAACTGCCTCTGGCCTCAGCTCCTAGATCTTAAGGGCCAGGCCCTGCCCCTTACAGTCAGCTGACCTCCTGGTTGCCCCAGCAACCCACAGCTGGGCTCCTTATTCCCAGCTAGGGCTTCTTCCCCGGCAGTTTCCCCTCTTTAGGAGCAGGGCACCTAAGTGCCCTGCGACAGTGGGATTTTAAAAAATCCCTTTTCTCACCAACCACCTCTATCCTTAACACTTAGCCCCTTCCATTCCAGAACCAGTACAACAGCCGTTCCCATTAAGAGTGGTTGTGACCCTGAATGGGGTCATAAAACTTGTAAGCAGTGTCACAAGTCAGATGAAACTCCAATTGCAAAAGTGGGGGTTACAACTAAAAGTGCAATGAGAAGTGGGATCATGAGCCCAATAACGGGGTCACTGGTGGAAGAGTTCAGGAACTGATGAAGTAAAAGCTGAGAAAAAGAGTTCTAAGAGCATTCCTGACCGAGCACTGTCATACCAAAGTGGGAAATGAGTTTTCAAAGCCATTGGCACTTCTTACCAAAAATATCCTGCTCCCAACCCATCTCATTTACATAAAAAGGAGCAAAATGGGCCAGGATTTATGCATTTACAGGGATTATTTGTATCGTTCCTGTTGTGGTTGCCTTGTTGTATTTTGCCTTTTTCTGAAAAACTGGCAGGAATAGAGTGCAACATTCAGGTGAGGCAGAACTGGTTAAATAGGACCAATGTCTCCATGTTTGAAGAAAAGAGGGCTTTGGACTAGTTGCCCTTTGCTTTGTTGTTGTTGTTTTATGGCACCCAGAAATGCATGAGGCTTTTCACAGAAAGCAAAAAAAGACACAGTTCCTTTCCAGGAGAGTTTGATATCTTTATTTTAGGCAGGCAACAGCAACTGGGAATGACAAATACCAGGAAACAGAGGGGGCAGATTATGTCTAGGATCACAGGAGTACTCATAGATGTTTATTCAATTCAAGCATGTGCGCAATCAGGATGGTTTGATCAATTGCTTTGTTTTTTTAATCTGTATAAAAATAAGGTAAAGATATGAGAGCATGGAGAGATGTGATATTGTTTTGGGTCTCCAAGTCATCTTTATGTAGTCTGGCTTGTACAGGTTTAAACAGTCCTTGAAAAATTAGATGTTTTAGGTGAGTATACTAGCTTGTTCCCTAGGTTTCTGTCACAGTTGTCATCCAAAAGACAAAAGAGCAAACCATAGTCCTCACTGTGCATTTTCAGGTAGCATCTATCATGTAAATTAATCTGAGGGTTCATCTACACAGAGACACTGAGGGAAATTAATGCAAATGAACTAACAGTAGATTCGTAGTTAAACTGCATTAAACCCCTGTTTAGATACTCTCATTCAAGGTGGCCTTAATTTGATTTAGCGTAATTCATTTTGGAAGTGAAGTAAGTTAAATTGCACTAAGGCTATTTAATTCTGAATAATAGTATCCATCCAAGGGGTTAATACTGTTTAATCCACAAGAAAATTAATTTGAATGAATTTACTGGAATGCTTCTAAGTGACTCCTTCAGACTCCTTTCACACACAGTTGCTGGATGATGATTCCAATATACAAATGTTCATTCTAGCAGTGGAAAATTTCCACTGCTGGAAATGATTCTGGGAGAAGGAGCAGTACAGATGTTCAGTTTCAAATCTCCCCCGCCCCCTTCCTCCTTTCCTTGTACCTTTCTGAGACTGGCATGATCCCAATCTGGGGAAAGTGTGGGCTGCTTCATTCATCCCATTCCAGTGGGGGCAGGAGAAGTGGGGCAAAGCCCCCTGCTTGCTTCTCACACCAGCGACTCTGGTGTGAGGAGCAGGCAGGTGCTTTGTCCCACTACTACAGAGGGAGCCTCCTCAAGCCCTGTTCCTAGCCCCACTGATTTTTAAATCACTACCCCCACTAGCCAGCTGTCATGGCACAGGCAAAGCAATGCTAGAAGGAGCCAGCGGAGTCCCCCTGCCTTGCCCTCTTCCTCTGGC